GACACATCATTTTGCTCTAGAGTATATGATGTGATGAGATGTAGAGTAATGCACTCCTTTTGCAATATAACTGAAATTGCATTGAGTTGTATTTTCCACCTTTATCTGTGCACAAAGATCTCAACTTCTTTCCAATCTGGCTCTCAACTAGAGACTTCCAATTCTTGAAAATCTCAAAGTCATCATACTTTTATTGCATGAAGTAAATCCATACAAATCCCAAAAAGTCATCCCCAAAGGTTACTTAGTAAATTTTTTCACAGTGTGAGGGACAAGGAAACGATTGCCACACATCAGCATACTTTTATTGCATGAAGTAAATCCATACAAATCTCAAAAAGTTATCCACAAAGGTTACGTAGTAAATCTTTTCAGAGTGTGAGGGACAAGTAAACGATTGCCACACATCAGAATGAATGTAACCGAGAGATTTTTCTAAGCTATGCATTCTTATGCCAAATACGACTCTTGTCTATTTGTCAAATACACAATGCTCACAAAAATCTAGTTTTCATTGTATCATTTTGGACAATAAACTCTATTGTGTTAAATGTTCAATTCTTGTGGTCCAGTCGGTTGTGACACAAATGAAAAATCAAATCTGGAGATGTAGTATCATGTATCTCTCCAAAGATTGTTGTTTCCTCCAAGATGTATAAATTTTTCAACCTCATGTGAACTCCTCATGAAAATGTGAGAACCATTCATCACACTCAAAACTTCATTGTCGATGCTCCATTTAAATCCATTGAAGTCCAATTCTTCAAATGAGATCAAGTTCTTACACATACTAGGGATGTGCGATTCGTTGATCAAAGTCGAGTTCATCCCATCAAACATTTGAATCTTTATAGATCAAATGCCAACAATTTTGCAGGCTTGATCATTTCTCATAAAAAATGTATCAGTTAATGGAGTATTAGAATCAAAGAACTACTTACTGTGACAAATGTGATAAGGGCAAGCTGAATCTAAAATCCATTCATTATTCCTAACATTTACAAAAGTAAAAAGTGCATAATACTACATTTTAGCCACATTATCTAAGTGTTCACCAATTATCTTACTACAACAATCTTTGCAAATGTGAGCAGATTTGTCACATATCTAACCCTGGTTGTTTTTATCATCTATAAACTTCGACTTAGATCTAGACTTGATCTTGGTATTATCATGTCTTTTATTTCTACCAAGAGATACTATCAAGGCAGTAGACGATGAAGAGGATTGACCGAAAGAAAAATACACATACACCAACACCTTCTATTACATTTTGTCAATTAATAAAATAGTAACAACTTCATTGTATGTGATGATTTTTTGTCATTGTGAACCAACACCTATGAGAAGGACTGGTATGAAGCCAGCAGAGAACTAAGTAACTTAATTGTTTTTTTCTCATCACTCAGTTCTTCTCCAAGGTTCTCAAGATTCACACCAAATCATTGAAGGCATCTACATGATCTTGGATCTTAGAACCTTTCGCCATTGTAAAGCTGGTGAGGCTCAAAGCGGTGTACAACCGATTTGAAAGCTACTTCTTATGATACTTTCTCACAAAATGTCGCAAACAAATCTGCTACCGTTGGCACCACTTTCATTGCTTGAAGACAATTGGCTTGAGATATAATACCATAATACTCATTGCCTAGTATTGAATATCATTCCAATCATCATCATCTACGTTGTCAAGTCGTGGCTTAAGCATCTTGCCCAAACCCATTGCATCAAATACACTAACAACTTGTCTCACTTAAAATTTCACTTTTTCATTGATGAAACATATCTCTACACATAAACTTTCCAAACTTGATTGAGATTGTCTTTTCACCTCTCTATATATACTACTTGAGAAGTTTTTATAATAACAAATAGTAATTTTTATTTAACTTACTTTTACAAAGATAAATCATGGTAAGTTTGACTAGTTTCCAATATGTGGCAATATGACATTGACCTTTTAAACATTATAAAAAAAAATTATTTTTTGAGTTGGCTACATGACATTGAAACTTCTAGAACCTCCACTTGACACTAAGTCAACTTCAAACTTAATCTAACCAATCAAAACTAATATAATCAAAAATATTCTTTCTTGGAACCTTGACTTTTGTAGTAGACAAATGGAAATACACAATCAAATTTTCTAGAACTATTTTTTGCCAAGTATAACATTATAGCTAAATTTAGTCATCACTAGATAAATTTAGTTATAACTAGCTATACATAGTTAGACCTAAGCTAATCATGATCAACTTCTTGGCTATTTCTTATTCTACTTCGCACATATATAAAAACTGATCTTAAAATTTATTTCTCAAGAAATTGGCAAAAATTTTGTCTGTAATCCCAAAACTGTACCACAAAATTGTTAAAGAATGAAAATTTTTGGAATTGAATTAACTTGCTGGAATGTGAAAACGTTTTGTCAAAATCATACACCAATAAAAAAGAGTAAGGTAAAAACTTCAATATGGAAATCCCAAGGAAATCTTTAGGATCATGGATTCTTATGTTGTCCCTTTGTAACATTGTCTTTTGTATTGCGTGTTTAACTTGCCGGAGAATCACTCTCCAAAATTTGAGTATAAATGAAGTTTGTCTGTCTTGTGAAATCTCCCCAAATTGTTAAAAGTCAAATTTACTTTTAATTACTTTTTTGCCAAGATTATTCATAGAAGATGTTTATTCATGTGGAGGTATATATGACTTTGTTTTTTGGCCCTGTCTTATCCAAGTGACTTGCCGCCCCAAATTTTAAAGTTTCTGCAACTTGTCACCCCGAGTCCGCATCGCTGCTCACCGTACTGCCACCATAGCTAAGCTTGACCTCAAACTTCAAAAGTCCGTAACTTCGCAAACTTTCAACAAAATTTGATGAAATTTATGTCAAAAAAATATTCTTAGAGAAGTCTCCTCAAGACTATGTATGCGAGAGCAAATATTGATTGATGAAAAAAAATCAAATTTTAAGAATCAAAGCTGTTTCTTGGCAACAAAGAGCAATAAATCTAACCGCTTCAAATTCAAAAAATCTCTATGATTTCTTGATGAAATAATCTTGTACTTTCATCAAAATGTAATTAGACAATGGTTTCACTCTCAGAGAAATCAACCAACAATCTACTCCAAACTAAGTGTAAAATTTTTGACAACGCTTTCGCACTCCCTGTTTTCCAAGAAACTATAGAAGTAAAAAAATCATTTTGCATTGAATCAGCTCTGAATCATCACAAATAATCACTGATAATTACAAATACAAATCACACACCAATGTACGTGATTCACCTCCACATACAAATCACACACCAATGTACATGATTCACCTCCACATGGGGCTACATCCACAATCAAGATAAAAGTTTCATTAAAAAAAGAAGTGTTATATTGGGCAACCATAGTTCAACTCTTCATTATCTCTTCCTCTAGGTGTACATGTGAGACTAAATTGAAACTTACCGCAAAGAAATTATCCTAGGTTTTTGTTTACTCTACGTTACCAATTTTGTAATTATCTCTTTATGCTATTATTCTATTTTGTTATGGTTTGTGTAAAGAGTGAACTTGTGATAGTTTTTTATATAGAATTTCATGCAGAATAATCATATAAATTATAGAGATTATTGTTTCATTAACACAAATTAAAAGAAAGATTATTTGAATTAATTCCCGTTTAGAAATAAATTCACATCCTAGTTAAAAGTAGCTGGCATGTGATTGATACATGGTTATATATATATAGGATTTATATATTAAATATTCTATACGTAATCTTTGTAATGAATCATGTTACATCTTGAATGTTGTTTGTTTATAATTTTCCCTTAACAAAAATTAATAAGTTTTATTAGTATTTTATTTAATCATATATATTTTTAACCTATTTTGTTTTGACTACTTGTTAATTCTAGTTTAAACATTTATCTTGTTTAGTTTTATTTTTAGTATTTTTTTGAAAACAATTATATAACTCAAGTAATTGACTGTTACTCCAACATGCATTACATATGAAATTATTAGGAATAATTTCATATGTAAGTGGAATCGATGTGTGAATGCCTGTTGGTGTACTATCGATTACAGGGCAAGATCTCCCGCCAAAGTAATTATATAGGCCAAGTAGACCAATGTATATCGACCAGTGTCACAGAAAATACTTCAACATTATCTCTAGAGTGATTTCTTGTGAAATCTCCTGAATTTACATGGAGTTTGAATTATCACAGATTCCATAGATGAATCCCTGCACATTGATAATATTCTTAATGTTAAATCGTGAATCTTGCCAATCTGACTATATTATGTGAGATGTAAATTACTTGGCTTTGACATTCTTTCGAATATGGTGAAACCAACGAATAAAATTCACTAAAACTTCTTGCATAAAATTGATTATGTACAAACGCCTCTGCATATCACCAGATTTCCTCTTGGACTTTTTCACTTTGCACTTGACATTAATTCTATATCAGCATCCAGCGACACGAAGTTCGTAACCTACAAATCTTCGTGACTAAAAAGGTGGGTAGACAATAGCACCACTCTATGAAGAAACATTTCTCAAAGCATTCCGAGAGGAACTCATGAAGCATCATCGTTCACATTTTAACTATCGTGAAGAAGACATCTGAGACTTCATCTATTGAAGCATGTGTGTGAAGGACCTTCCACATATTACGGTCTGTGCATTGGTAGATACTTCGACCAGACTTTCTGTGGTGATGTGTTAAGACAATCCTATTTGAAGAGAATACTCCGGGCAAATCGACATTCCTTTCCTTCCTTACTAAGACAAGCGAAGTCTTTTGTGTGATACACATATCAACTGAGTCATTTGATATTTCCTTCACTTTTCACTCTTGATCTGATGAAAAGATACATCTAAAACAAGCATGTCTGAAGTTTTAAGTTTCAGCACATGGAGAAGGATCCAACTCATGGAATTCAAAAGCATTCTCATCGCAAACTACATCTCACACCAAATATCGAAGAGGCTAAAGCGGTTGAAACTGTTCCTCAAAATGATTTATAATTTCGTCTTTTAGAAGCAGCCATATGTGATAATTAGCTGACTGTCGTACCGACTACTTCTTACTGGCATAACACGTTGCAGGTATGCATTCCAGGCAATGATATGAATATTTTCAATAATGAAAACTTCAGTTTTCATGATATACAACTTCACAAAGTGTGCTCCCCAATTGAGCACTAGTGAAAATGGGCGTGACCAAAACACTCCATCCCAATCATCAGCCTTGCTAGGGCAACTAAAATGCTTGGCGCTTTTCACCAAACATTCAAGATATTAGAGGAAGATGAACTTGCCCCAGACCTGCAACTTTGACAGCAAGACATGAAGCAGCCAAGGCGTTGCAAAGCTTATCTCTTGGTTTCCTGCCCCCTCATGTCAAAACTCTTCTCATCACTAACATTCGGCTACTAGCGTGCACTCAGAAGTCAAACAAGCTTGTGTTAAGCAACAACCCTCAAGACACACAAGGTACGCCCAGCAGCAGAGACAGCCCAGTGATATGTGACCTGAATAAAATGCATTCAAGCCACCGCAACCCCAACGCGATGGACCTAAAAACATGAAATTGTCAAGTGAAATGGAAGAGGACGTAAGCTAAGATCAAATGAGTGTCAACTTCCATTGAACCCTGCTAGGTGGGGCGACTCCACGAAATTAGGTGAAGCATGTACGCGATTATACAGCCCAGTGCAGCACCCGCGGCGACCTGGAAACAAAAAAGAAGTAAATAGTGGGGTACGACTTTCAGCATTCAAATACGACACGCCATTCCTATCTGAAATGAGCAAAATGCTAAAAACATTCATATCATGTATCCAATTTCTAAAGCAACTAAGATTGAGAAGGCTCACCTGGGGAGGTGTATGCCCAAGAGGTTCTCGTAGAGGTCTGGAATCGGAAAGTGGATGCTCCGGTGGTAACTCATAAACAATCTGGTTCAAAACCTGAGACGAATGCATCCAATTGAAGAATATAAGTTTCTGCAATGTGCATCTAGAGCCATGGGCATTCGCGTTGCTTGTACTCGACCACTGGAGGAAAACGGAAAAGAGGCCAAAACTGAAAACCCGACCGATGTGCTAGATAACTAACTGGGTCAAACTGAACGCTATTAATCAACACCCAAAAAAACAGTCAATTTAGGTGTATCACAGTAGGTCTACCTCTGCTTGACGACCAGCTTGTAATCTTACACCAGAGGCATCATACATCACCTGAATCAAGAACCCATTACCATCATGACAAGCATAGAGCAAAAACGTCACATCCTCCAACATCTAGTCACTCCGTGCGTAAAGAAGAACTGCAATAATGTAGGACACCGCTCCTTTCAAGCAGACAGCTACTTCCTTCCATGGGTCAAATTAAGATCTTACGTGAAAACGTGCAGGTAGAGTAGATCAAAACACAGGGCAATTGGTCTCTTGAAGCTCCTGGCGTTTGTCTAATGAAGACAGAGACGCAAATCAAACATTTCGAAGCAAAAGCAGAGAGAACTTACAACGGCGGCAAGTACCAAAGCAATGGCAAACATAGAGCTCCCAGGACCATCTCTCAAGCCGATGGCCACTGCTAGAGCCATCACTGTTGCAGAGTGAGATGAAGGCATCCCTCCAGATCCAAGGAGTCGTTTCACATCCCAGCGCTTTTCCTTATACCTGCAGAAGAGTGATCATGGTCAGTGTATGCTTTGCAGAAGACAAAGAATATCCCAGCAGAAAGCGCAATAAGAACCTCCCGCTACCAAAAAATGCTGGAATACCCGGGAAAAGAAGCATAATACTCTTTTCCCTTTCAAAATCTACTCTAATATATGACTAAGCTAGAAATGAAAGTTGCCCACCTATTTTACAAGGCAAACTATCATAAATGCAGTTGCAACATACGCAGTTTTCACAGCGAACAAATCTCGAGATACATGAAAAAGGAAATGACAGAGACTCCCAACCAAATTCTGCGAAAATGACTGGGCGAAAAAAATATATGGCAATGAAAGCTATTTGCGGAAGGGAAAGGTGGAGCTCGTGTTCACAAGGGTAGTTTTTCTTTTCTGGCCGCAGACTCCGCCCATGAGTGGCAAAACCTGGACACGATTACAAATGATGGGAAGAGAGACTAATCAGAGGGACACTATTTTGATGACAAAACAGGTGTTGGACTGCATTTTTGCACCAAACACATGGTCAAGCGCCGAAAAACTGCCACCTCCAGATTGAACTGAAACTGTGTCTGGAGAATCACAATCCAATGGATGGAAGGAGAACACTGAAGGCAGACACAACGTCTGCAACATTCATTGACATGCTACAAGCTCAAACCCAGTCCATGGGGCCTCAGTGTAATTTGGTGGACATGGGTGGGTCCTGAAAGAAACACCTATTTATTGTTCGTTGAAACGAAGACTGCTCTGGGCCTTCCTCCTGGTCTACCGGCTCAATTCGAAGATAACTATGAACTGCACATAACCTGGATAGGATGAAGACTCAGAGTTCAGTAATCGACACTCCCCGCTACAACGGTTGTACCCTCGAAAAATCTCCATCCCCAATAGTATGTATAAAACAAAGGCTTCAAGACTACCCTTTCAGGTACAATATTCGATGACAAAAAAGAGTTGAAATTCATCCGTCTTCACACGTCTTTCACACTCCGATAGCTTAAGTCTCTTCATCACCCCAAGGAAGTGAAAATGGAAATCGACAACTAGCTAATTTTCGGTTCGAATAACATCCAGTCCCAAACTCCGGCTAAGACCGAGCTGTTCCATCAAAGGGAGCTTGTAATTCCTACAACTAAAATGCAAATTCCAGATATCCCGCTCACTTCTCACGACCGTACGAGCCGCACGAGAATACAGCATAGTCCAATCAGCAGACAAGTCACGGGTTGAATGAATAGAAGGATGGCAAGCATAATCTCCTCGACAAAAACGATTGAGACAGAAAACGCATGTTCAGTAAAAACTGGAGCAGATCATGTCAGCAGAGGACGATGTAGGACGTGAAATGCGCGCGACATGAGTTCGTCTTGGAGGGGTATGGATTTACAGAGCAAATAAACCGCATTTCAAGCACTATCGTCCAAGTACGCGAAATGTTGCAGAACTCTGCGATCAGGATCACACATATGCACGCGACGTACTCTGGGAGAAGGGGAGAGGATAAGAGAACAGTTGATGAAGATGGCGCGAGAGGCGGACAATACCAGGTGGTGAAGACCTTCAAAGACTGTGCCAAAGCAAAGGAGAAGAAAGCTGCTACGATCGGCGTGTTCGCAAATAAAGACACAGCGTTGCTCTGGGTACTTTCGATAGATTTACTAGCTACAGCATGCATCGTCGCCATGGTTCCTGAGTCCACCATCCCCTGTACTCCGAGTGCTTTATGTCGAGATTCGAGCTACTGATAGTCCGCGTTCCACCACCAGCCAGCCTTCAGAGCCCGAGGGGCAAAATACTGCCAGTCACGCTGCTGCATACGCACGAATTTTCCTTCTCACCCCTCCCCATACCACCGGCTCGCATCCCTCCACCAAACTACGATCCACCTGCGGCCACCTCCAAATCCAATCCCTATCCCAGACCTACTTCCTCGTAGAACTAAAGCCACCTAAAATATAATACTCATGTCGATTGGAAGCCGCTACCGCCAGCTTCTCCGACTCCGAAATCAACCACTTCACAGCCCGTCGAGGTGAACAGAACCGAAGGATTTCCTCCACAAACCTAAGAGGAAAGGCGAGCCGAGCAGGACCGAGCGATAAAATCAAACTGCACAAAGCCCCCGCCGGAAGGAAAAGATCGGAGGCAACAAGAACCAGAGCGAGAGAGGAGAGCGAGGGGCGTAGAACGCTCGGACGAGGACGCGCTGCGAATTGCACCGACAGATCCAGAGACCACCACTCGAGTCGAGTCGAGGAAGAACTCAACGCCACCAGATTCTCGACCGGATCCCAGCAAGTGGCCGCACTGCAGGCGGATCCAGGTCAAGTCAAAAGGGCGAAGAGGAAGCAGGAGGAGGGAAGAGATGGAAGAATGGGAAGAAGAAGAAGGGCGGAAGGAAGGAATGGGAGGCAGGAGGAGGAGTGCGGACAGAACAGCCTTCGGCCTCCTCGGCACTTCCTCTCGCTCTCTCTGCTCGTGCAGGCGTGCATGGAGGGCGGATTTACACTCGCGCAATTCGACCCTGCCTCTGCCTCTGCCTTTGCCGGGACCGCCCTACGACCGGAGCACAATCAGATCGCCGATGTCCCGTCCCGCCTCGAGAGCGATCGCGAGGCCGAGAGCGAGAGAGAAGGACGAGGAAGGCCGCGAACTCGCGAAGCCGACGGACGGATGCCTGGGCATCGCGGGCGCGGGCGCTGCCGCTACTCCTCGACCATGGCTTCGCGTTAGCCCCGGACGCCACCGCGCGTCGCGTGTTCTGCACCGTCGGGACCCCACGAAGCGACCGGGTGGGCCCCGAAACTGGAACTGGAACTGGAGCGCTCCAGGCGCGGCCCGAGCGTTTCTCATTTTTTTCTTGTCGTGAGTTCCACTTTTGTGGAGTGCTCGGCACGTGGCCTGCGCCCCTCGAGGGCGGGTCCTCCCGGGCATATACGGCCCGCGGCCGGCTCCGTTCCTCAGGTAGTCACACGCCGGCGGCCCAGAAGGGCTCGCGGACGGACGGACGAGCCTCCGGCATCCGGCGGCCAGAGCTTTGGGAAAGTCGACGATTGTCGGCCCCCGGTTCGAACTGCTGCTGGTGTGGTCAGCTGGACGACTTTGGAGCTGGACCGTCGTGAGGACCGCAGCGTCGTGAGTTACGAGGGGCCTACTGTCGCATCTGGTCTCTTGCTCGAAGGGCTGTTCGGTTCCTGCGAGCTCGACTGGGGACGTGCCCGGCGACGTCGAAGAGGCGAGTTCGTCACTTGCACGTTCGGGCCGAGTGCGTCACTTCGCTGGACCTCGCAAATTCGTGCTCTTCGTCCCGAGAATTGGAGCTGTGAGGAGAGATTTTGGAGCTCCACAAGGGCTCCCTGTGGAGACTTAACTCGAGGGGTGTTAGATCGGTTCGTCTAACGACCGAACATCACTACTTACGCCTGCTTCATCGTCAATCCTTGCTCGACCAGAGATGAGAATTTTGCTGTCGGTTAAGGGTGAGTGATTGAGAGGAAAAAGGAAGGCAACGAGTAGTCTCCTGAAGCCTTCTCAAACAACTTGTTCAGAAATAACGACGATGGGTGTAGACGCAGCTTTTCCAATTAGGTAGGTTTGTGAATATAAATAAAGCCCAAAGTGCGGACAGTCGCTCATATCCCCCGTGGAAGAACTGATGATGCATGCAAGGATGATTCCCCATTGAGGACACGAGAAGATGCATTATGCTGCTTCGCTTCGTTTGGAAGTAGCTACTTTCTTTCGCTCAAAAGACCAGCCTTTCCAAAACAAAAGGATATCATAAGCAATATGTGATGATTGCCTTCATAATAACGACAGATCCGACAGGAAGGTACAAATGAAATGTGGACAGTAACGCATATATTTCTTCTAGGAAAGATTTTATAAAGAAGACATAATGTACATTGAAGGCCCTACCCTTCGTGCAAAATCTTGGTGCTCTCAGGGGCTTGTCCCATGTGTGCGAAGGTAGCTAGCTAGCTTGTCGTAGCCTCAGCGGTTCAATGCTCACTTCGAGAAAAAAGTGGTGAATAAGGAACACGCGTCGAAGTTCGTGGCATATTGAAGTAAACCCTTTTGCAAAAACCTCTTTCGTGAGGGGAATGGTCACGTTGCACAATCATATCTCTAGAAGATCAAATCGGATGACATACAGTAGCCGGTGACACGCCGAGCCGAGAGTGTCATCGTAAAAGCTTCAGATATTTGCCCTTCAGCTTTTGAAGATCTTTTGCGTGCTCCTTCAGCGAGAAACATTGTCAAACAGATTGAATGAAATTTAGTTAAGCAAGCCTGTGGAGCAAGATGATCCAAAATCATAACATCACTGGCATACGATAGCGCGAAACTTACCTCTTCTAAAGTCTTCCAAGCAGTGGCATCACGATCTTGAATTAATCGCCAATGCAATCCCATCTCATACTCCACTGTATTGGATTGTGCACAATGAGATGTTGAAACCGCATTCTTCTGCGATATCGAGACAAAAGACACATCACGAAGTCTACAAAGAACACCATCATCACAGTTTTGAGGCTTAGAAAACAAACCATATTTGAGATGAGGCGCTGAGGATATGGTGATATGATGAGTTAGGTTTAGACCGCCCTTAAAGCGAAAATAACAATCGAACTTCATCAATTACTATTCAAGTCCCAAATGCCTTCACAGTTTAAGAGAATCGTCGACTTCCATTTAACATCAGTACTAGCGTAAATGCAAGGAACCTATAGTTCTGCATAATTTGCGGGAAGTTATGATGCACTTGCATCGATCGAAAAGTAAGATACTGTCGGTGCCCCGAGGTAGACAGCCATCACAAAAATATTACGCAAATTGCTCAAGTAGTGCTGATCAGTATGTGCCCAGCCTGAGAGGAGCTAGAAGTACCCCAATGGGAGGAAGTAAGATGGGACACAGAAGATGGAAGGAAGCGCAGTACTTTGGAGTGAGGGAGGACTAAAAAAAAATGTAGGTAGGAATATCAGTGCAATTCTACTCATAAAAACAATCAGTTGCATTTTCAGGAGGATTAAAAAGAAATTACTATCGAATGATTCACTTACAGGACATATTTATCCTAAAAGGAACACACATGACGCATACTGACCTGTTCTACTGAAGCGTTGATCTTCCATCCAAAATTTTCCAAATTAAAAAATCCGTGAAAGTTTTCGATAGATTCCTTTGGTTTCGCGAACCTGCTCGCTAGCACCGGCCTGTCACACATAAATTGGAAGGGAAATAGTAGACAATAAATCAATAATGCTTAACTTTCTGGCTAAAGCGGAAGACGTGTCTATTGCATAATGAATGATTCTATATTTGTAGTCCACATAAAACACAGACATTCCTTACGACTAATACTATTGATCCTTTACACTTACATCAGAGAGCAGATAATACCATTAGGAACTGAAGCTAGAGGTGTACTGGCACTCAATGAACGTCGCACGTTTGAGAATATAGGATGAGAAGATAATAGTAAAACATGAAAAAAGCAAAATAATGGCGTGTTGGAATAATTTGCTATCGATATATAACATTGGGATAATTTGCTATCAAGATCTTCTAGGTTTTTCCCTAGAAGCGCATTCACCCTAATAAGAGCCAAAAGATGTGCTACCTTTCATTCTCAGAGATAGTGAGTATATTTTCCGTCAATGTTCTCAAAACGTCCTCAGCAATGTCGGCTTTCTTGACAATAACAATAGCTTCAGCTACAAAAGAACAAACATTAATTTCGGTCAGTCAGCGAGTGTAAACGCTGAAATTTGAGGTTAAAAACTTGTAAGCATTGAACAATGTAACAAATGGTATGACTGAGTTCACTAATCACCGATCAGGACAAACCAATCCTTACTAACCTGATTTGTAACAAGTGATACATCTCGGTGGGAGTATACGCACATCACACGTGATATCCAATACGTTCTCCAAAATAGCCTGCACTAGCAGCCACCAACTTATAGAAGTTCAAGCAAGTGGCACCTACACCCGCAGTAGACACTCTACCGTGAGATACTCTTAAAGGACTGAGGACTGTGTTTTGATTTGGATGCCTAATTCTGTTCGGTATTCTACGTCTGTCCATTTTCGTCAAATATCACGTGCGATAGGGTGTTTCAAAACTGCCCCGGTAGTGCCGTAAAAGGACATGACGACTTTCGAAGAGAAATTGTATCGAAACGGTTCCTTCTCAGAGGGTTAATCCCATGAACCGAAAACCGATTACAAAAACTAAAAGGTATTATTACTGAAGCTGAAACTGAAAGGTGTGCCAGTACAATGAAGTTAGCGTGTGACCTGCAGCATAGTAAGATGAAGACAAACAAATGCATTGCAGATGTGAAATGACATATTGTAACCAGCGTTGGGTGAAGTCTGAAATAAAGAACCATCAGCCAGGAATAAATCTGGGAAAACCCTATGCAGGTGCGAATCACTACCATAATAAAAACCGATAGGCTCAAGCGGGCTGTAAGTATTGTACAGAGGTGCTTTCTGTGCACCTTTCTATACTGTTGTAAATAGTGGATATGTAACTAGTATGCAAAAGACTCGTTGTACTCCACATATAACAGGGACGAACGGTATGGTACATAACATAGACTACCTGGAGTCAAGTATGGATCTAGTAAAAGAGATTGTCTCAGAAGTTTCTGTCGTAATCCACTAAGCTTTCGATGAACATGGTAGCTTTCTGCGTTAAGCGTGTTGCTTACCTCAAGTTCAACTGAATTCAAATAAGGATCCAGATTCTTCAGCAAGAGAGCCCTCCCATTTGACACAGCCTCCTCCACAATCTTCTTTTCGTCCCAAGACTGGAGTTAACAGACATAACAACAAAGTTAGACAAAGGATATTGATCTAAAGACTTCAACGACGATACTCCTGAGATTTGTGCTGGGACAGGACTTCTTAAATCTGGGCAATTTCTGGAATAATAATTCAGTTAGAGACAACGCAGCGGCTTTATGATCTCAATCGAGGGCACGTCACCTAACGAAGAGATTACATGAATCAGCACAACGACGCAGGTGAAAGACGTCCATAACAATCACAAAACTTATATATTTACACTAAGTATGAAGGAGTAGGCATTCATACGAGGCGTACTTGATCACGGAAATGATAAACACATGAGCCATTTGCTGGACATAACGACACAGAATCGTCCTCTTAAGCTAACAGCTTAAACCAGTGCTCTCTTCCGGCACATACTTTACAGCAAGCAACCTTAGTGTGTATGTATGGGGAGTATCAACCCTGTCAAATAGTGTAAAAGAACAAGTTCCAGGCATACGAGGATTTCCAACTTACAAATTTGAAAATCTTCTTGCTGGGCTGCCGAATGTAACCGATGAAAGATTTTCAAGAAACAACCAAATAGAGTGGTCAGCTGCTGGATTTATATCACGAAGGCTCATAGATCTTAGAGCTACTGTACACCCTAAACCCTAAGACTGAAACACAGATAGCGGCAGAAACTCAAAGGTTACATTGCATTGATCCTCAAATTCGACCTCAAGCACCTGTTTACTACGAGACACAATCCTGACGGTGATGATGTCTTCGAGTGCTGTGGGATCATATTCTAGAAAAGTATACCACATTAACCTTAAATGAGAACAGAACATATACTGCCACTCAGTAACTGCACCTCCTCGGTCGAAAGACAAGTGTACGACTTTAATAATATTATGTATCTACGTACCACATAGAGTTCGCCGTTAGCCCCCGTGGAGAACGCTCTTTCCAATACAGGAGCTGAGACGACAGCCTCAGAGGAGCGATGATTTTCCGAAGCTTTGAAACTTCTGCCAGAAGTTCGGTCAGGTCTTTCAAAAAGATCCTCTAAATAAGGTCCTGGTTTTAATTTCCTACTTGCCTCATCTTCTGCATTATCTCGACTCTTTTCCACTTTTGCAGATGGTCTTAACGCATCCTCCGTGTATGTTCTATCACCCCTGACCTGAGGTCCGTACTGAGTTCTTGAGCTCGTTGTGGTTGACTTGGGATGCTGATGTTTCAGGTGCATCTGAACATCCTTAGCTTGTCTCATATCCCACGTAGTGTCTCTGACGTTTTTAAGAGAAGGGGCTTTGTCTGGATAAGCTCCATGTCGTTCGTCTCTTGGACCTTCCCTCACAGCACCTTCACTTCGTCTATGCTCCAGCGACGACGATCTCGCTCTTTCGGCAGAAGAGTGGTGGTGACGAACAGGTTGGGACTGCAGGTTTGTTTCAAGTATCCTACTGGACTTGTGTTGATCTGCGAGTCTGTTCTTGCCTGTAGATGGAGGAGGAACCCCTTCCCTAACAAGCCTGCTAGGTATAGCGGCTTCTCTTGCCCCGCCGACTTGGTTTATTCTAGTTTTATTGCTTCGATTGCTCAAAGAAGTATAAGGTTCCGTTCCTTCATGTTTCCTCTCACTGAATTTATTCCCATCAATTAATTGTATCTTAGAGGGCCTATCCCGAGGCAATACCGACATGTCCCGAGTTTGACTGTTCAGTCTAGCCTTCTCGATTTCCCTATACCCACCTGCAACATGAGCATTCTTCTCTTGAACAGTACCTCTAAACGAGTCTAGTCTACGCCTTTTCTGTGAGTCGGTGGGGATGTCATGCCCTGCGTCCTTTGAGCTCCTCTTCAGATCACCGCGCGTTGCATTCGTTGGCCTCTGGTCATCTAACATTTCCCCACTTGACCTTTTCCAGCCCTCCGAGCGCTGAAATGCTTTCCGTTCAGTAAAAGAAACTGCAGTAGGGTCTTCAGATGATACTCGCCTGCTGGTCTGATCTGCCTGAAGACCAGAAAACTGGTTTCGAGGCCCAACCACATTGACCATATTAGACTGTGATCCGGAGTTAGTGCCTCTCCCAATCACGTCTTTCCTAAATTCTCTGTTTCCCTTTACTTCTTGTCCAGAGCGGTCCGACCTCTCAACTTTGAGCTTTTCCTTGATAAAACAACTTCGTAAGAACTCACCACAGGACTCCTTTGAGGGATCTAATCTATTAAACCTCAGCTTCACGGCATCAAAAGCCCGATCAAACACGTGGTCGGCTGCTGCAATTTCTTCAGCAGAGGGCATTCTATTCCATGTCTCATTGGCAGTGCACAAGATAGTGCACTTTTTTATCGTACAACCCTGCCATGCAGCAGATCAATAAATCAGGACATATTGATCTCACGTTGTAAACGACTTCGTTTGGAACTAAAACATGATAAAACATTCTGGAACGAATACAGATAGAGAAGCCAAACATACCGGATTTTGAAACGATTTAGTGTGTTGGCTGCCAGCTGCCATGAAGATCTCTTTGCTGTTTTCACTATAATCAACATCTGGTAATCTAGGAGGCAGCTCACAGGGTCTGAAGAACCAACGTACAAGCATAGTCCTCTTCCTATTTACAATATTCTGACGCAACTTGGCAATTTGAGCAATGTAGGGTGGTCCATCCCGAGCATGGAGATACACGGCGTCGTTCACACGATATTCCACTCCATCCAAGTAAAATGATTCGTAATACGTGTAGTGCTCTGTCTTCACTGGTTTCAACCTACCCCATCTAACCCCGTACAAATCTTCAGTTGTATGGGACTGGTCACGATCGACCGCTGTAGCCATGCTTATCGAAGCCTTACCCTTATAACTATTTTTTGAACCTTTGGACGACCTCACTAAAAGTCGCACAGATTGATGGTCCTTGGCTCTTTGGTGCCTTCATACTCGCTATATAAGTTTGTGTATTCATTTAGGAACAGCGCTCAATGAAGAACCTGAAACTCATATACTGTTTGGTATTCTTAGAAAACAACAGCCTCCTCTGGGACATAAGAGTATCCTTGACAAAGTCACGGATTCTTTTCCCACCTTACACTGAAGCCCTTGCAAATCGGGAAACTTTTGAGCGAGCCAGGTAGTCTTGAAGGCTTCCGCGTAGGAACTGTAAATTATCACAACAACCGGTGCAAGTATTAACATAGAGAAATCTAAACATATAAATCCAAAGCACCCACAGCATTTATCAGGAGAACTCTCCACAAGATTGGTATGAAGAATTCTAGATACATGCTAACCGGCTGCCGGAACCATAGGGTCAGGGATTTGACAAAGGGATGCCGAAATCGTCGAAACCTCTGCTATCAAATGGCTTCTGCAATAATCAATTGTGTTCCATAAAAACTCCAAGGTATCCATCCTGACTTGCCAGTGCGCACTGAAGCGAATGCACTTGCAAGTGACAGTCTATGGTCCCGATGAAGATTTTTACGTATTATGCTTTGAAGGAGCGAAAAGTACCTCAAGAGTCAGATATTTCATATCCTCCTTAGATGGTCACTCTAGTCATTGTCAAGTCCTTATAAGCCAGGCTAGGAAATCTTCCATACCCCAAACTGAACACACTGCGCTGCATACGAAGGATTGCTATTACAGACTACCGCATGGCTGCAATGAAACAACTCATGGTTCCGTGAAAAGCCTCACAGTCATTGAAAGTCGCAAAATCTGGTCGCTGCACCCCAGAGTTCTAACCTGTCGAATGAGAATCAGTGTAGAGTCAGACCTCTGGACTAAATCGACGAGAACCTCACATCTCGACAAAGAATGGAGATATCTATGAATGTGATAATACAACATGTATTTGACGCAAGTTGTGTTCACGTCAGAGCGTGTGTCTTCTGCAGACAGCTTTGAGATCCACGCTGACAACAAAGGATGCCGGTTCCAGACAAACTAATGATCGAAAATTGGTAGAGAATTCAAAGAGCTCTCCTCCCAAGATTGAGGAATGAAGCCACTCTGAACTTCTGAGGCAGGTGTAACACTCAGTAATGGAAAAGAGAAACGCTCAATTTCGCAGGTTCATGGCATCTCAGTCTTAGAAATAACCCAAACAGTACCGTCGGGCATAACGCTCAAGATTATCAGGTTCCAGCCTGTCCCGTGCCAGCGATGAACTATGACAGCATTGAATGGGACCGGTAAGCACATCCGTTCATAGATTCAAATCTTATTATTCTGTGTAGTCGACGTGCTAGACTGAATCAGTTCTAAGGTCCATCTTCAAGTGCTACTAGAAGCATAATTCGATATGCAAGGAACAGGTGAATGGAAATTGGCTGACCTCCCATCGCAGAAAGTGGAGGTCTGAACCGTAGTCTGCCACTTTACGGTTTTGAAATTCACCGCGCAGCAACGGGAACACAACTGCCCATGCGCAAGACAAAATGCTACCCACGAACAGCACTAACAAAGAGGTCGAGCGAGAGGTGTACCAGAAATGCTAACGCACCCACAGCTCACACGGCTCATTTAAAACAAGGTCAGAAACCTTGAGCTAAATACAGGACTTCAGCAGACATCAACAACATTGTACAATTACATTCAGGGTCTACAGCACAAGGAAACGGAATCAAACGGCCAAGATTGGAAGCAGACCGACCTGTATACTTATTCAGACTGCTCCAGCAGCACAGACGAAGCGAAACCCAGCTTCAGGTGACAAATAGCATTATGCAAGCCACCTCGCTCCCACTACCGTAGCCACCAAGCAAGAGGCCAAACACTCCACGCTACCCATGGTCAAACCATCGTCTAACGAGGACCTCAATAATCAAAATATTTAGTTCCCTTCCAGAGAAAAATCACAAAATCACTAATCAAAGTTACTCTTGGCTCATGAGCAAGATACAGGACAATAACCGGCACACCGAGCCCGGGAAAAGATTAAAGCGTCATTCTAGCCTTCGGCTTCGACACGGCAAAGAAGGCGGACGCCAATTTTTGAACGACGCTCGGTTCTTGACGGTCGCACGTCATGATTTCATTGCGAGGCCTCGATGCTCGATCCGCCAACCATTCCCGCCCGACCAGTCACATCTACGCGGCAATTACCAAACTCACACACACACTGCGTCCGCAAGGAAAAAGAGAGATTCACGACAAATTAACGTGGAAATCTTAACTTACTCTCAACGATTTTCAACGTGATCATTAAAACCCTCGACCGAATTGAGGAGAGCATTAAGTGTTCAAACCTCCACCTCGGCGGCGAAGAAGCACATGACCCGTTCTCCGAGAGATGTCGCTACCTGTAACTGAAGAGGCTCCAGCTGCTCGAAATGGCATTTCCGGCGCCAATATTGAGGTCTTTCCACGCCAGCCCCGATTTCCCCGGCGCTTTTCTCGATTTGCAAGGAGGACAGGACGATGGTACATCCGTCCAGATCAAACCAAACTGCGCCATGTCAGGCTCGCCATTCCACTTTCTTCGAGCCTGCTTCCTTACCTGCTCTGCCGAACGTAGTAGAGTTGGCCAGGATCCAAACTGCGCCATGTCAAGCTCGCCATTCCACTTTCTTCGAGCCTGTTCCTTACCTGCTCTGCCGAACGTAGTAGAGTTGGCTTCGGAAGGCGTGCATAACGAACTCCGGCTCAATAGAGTTCCGGCTTCCTGACCTGCGAGAAGTTGTGACCCACCAGGTTCGGTTGGACTACACTACTTCCAGGCTGTTGGATAGCAACAGCACCTTGATTTATGCTCGTATCATCATTCGAGATTTTTCATCAAAATCCTATCTTCGACTTACATTTTGCATTCCAGATATATTTTTAAGATTAGATCTTATATTTCATTTTTCTATTCATAAATCTGATTTTTTTAAGACAGTTTATAACTCAGTTTACTTTACATTATTATGGTTTCCAATGTTAGAATAATCGTTTACTTGGAAAATAAATCAAATCTATTAAACAATTATACAACATGGTATTTCCCTACCAGTTCTGTATCGTCGATGATAGGTCAAAAGTAGCTTCATTACTGATCCACCAGTTGGGGGCATAACGATCACTAATGGAGCTACCTTAGACTTTCATGTGAAGAAAGCAATCGGATGCAAATCATCTCCATTGTTTTGCCTCATGTATTGGTAGCGAACCTTATTTTTTATTATATTTTTCCAATTCAGATTGCATGTAAAATGTCATTTTTAAGTGCTCGAAATATTATTTTCTCTGTGATTCTCCAATTCTATTTTTGTATTTTTTTCTCATTATGGATGTTAGATATTGAACAATGCCTGTAAAAACTTTCACAGATATGCAGTAAACTCAGATAATACCTAAAAGACCATTCAGTTGAGGTGGACCTTCTCAGGCTTTCCATTTTCGTATTACATAGTGTGATTCGATGGTATAAATTATCGATTTTGTGCACTAGCATTGAGGGATAAGGTCATGTGTGTTGATAGACCTCAGCAAACCAGAACCAAGAGAGTATCTTGCAGAGGTCGTGAAAATTGTTGGTTTGCAACGAAGTGACATCGCATCGTCATTCGGGTCCAGTCATATTATATGCACATATATTTTGTCTTTAAAATTCCATTCTCCTTCACGCTTGTCTGAACTTGTGAGAAAGTAGGACAGATCGGTACAAAGCTAAAAAACCAGACATATGAACCAATAAGAAACAAATGAGAAAAATATTACCAAACAAACCAAACAAACTCGGTATGAACCCAAGCACCAAACCTGTTCCCTAGCCAAAAGGAGTCCACACCTGATAGCGAATGTGGTTTGAATCCGGTGAAATTAAACAAGATTACCAAATAGCAGGAATAAGTTTGATTCAGGATTTGATGCCATTCCCGACTAAATCATCTTGTGTTGCGTTTGAAGTTATTCTTCCAAATCGCACCTTGTTTGACGTTGTAGGGAGGCCTTCGCCATATTTGCTTGTAAGTTAAGTTGGTTTATAGCTGGCCTACGAACTCTGTCACTACTTTTCACTTACCCTTGGGTCCTGAGCAATTTGTGTTAAGGCTTAGGGTCCGCCTACCTCTAGTTTATGTGACTAAAGGTTAAAACCTACTTCAAAAAAGGCAACTATTTAGTAACCCGACATAGGTTTTTCAAATTGTCATCCAAAGAATAAATGTACATTACGAAAGGTATGAAACATGGTGTTTCTTCAACAGCAGTCTCCAGTCTTCAATCGATGCACATCATCAATCCAAAATCCGGACGAGGAGGTCACGGAAATATATTAAAAAATGTGTTTCCGACATACCTCTCGTGCACAGGGGCGGAGCCAGGAATTTTCTGGTGCGGGGGCTGGGGGCTCCCCGCCGGGTATTTCTGTAGCGCCGCAGGCGCAATTTGTTTCTCAATCGCGTTTTCAACCATCTGTAGACACTTCCTGGGCTTAGAGTGGGGCGTGCGCCCCCCTGCCCCACTTGTAGCTCCGCCCCTGATCGTGCAGCCCCAATTTCAAAAAACCAACAAGACAAGTAGCTACAAGTACCTTGCTGGTTCTTGTATCAGAGTCCAACATTTTACTTCAAATCTGCACTCAGACCAGACCATAACCATCAGCAGCGACCTAAGCTCACTCATGCCACCCATAGCATTACCTGTGCCCACCCATGCTACTCAAATTACGCAAATTCTTGGTTGGATCTTCACAAACACTGCACCTAGCATTACTTGTGCCCACCCATGGAAAAATAATGTTACCCAAAACCCACCCATAACCCATGGGCATGGGTGGGTTTGGGCATGGGTATGGGCACCCAATGTTGGGCTCTGACTTGTATGCAGCAAACGTACCTTGCAGGTACGTTTGCTGCAATTTCTGGGTTTCCTGAGGAAGCAAACATTCTATAAAAATCACCACAGTTTCACATACTTGAGATGTGCTTCAAAGTGGTGACAGGCACTTAGTGGGTGGTAAAGTAGACAGAAGGTTCGGCCAAATTTTTCTGAGTTGGCCCTCGGCCAACTCGACCTGTCTCTTAGTGACGAGGCCAGGCCAGAAGTCACACATTGAAAAAAAGAAGCTTCGACTTTTACTTTCTTTCAGGATTCTCCTCGCCGAGATTCCACGTTTCGGCGAATATAAGACACAATGCAGTCGATTAATAAGTTCAGTACTCTCCGGACTAAGTGACACGTGCATCGTCAGGAACAGGTCGCGTCCTCACTGGAGCACTAATATCCTGCTTGCAGCAACTGTTTGGAGCACATACAGAATTAGGCTGACTTCAAGAGACCAGGATCTGAGTGGATTATTTCTAAAGTGGTATAGTTACAAAGTTTCGAGCTTGTTGTAGTGCTGCGATGATGTACTAGAGCTTTCTCGGCTCAGAAGTGCTTCAATCTGTGCAGTTAATACATGGAAGAGCTTAATGTTAGGCTCATTCAAACCTTACCCATCTCCGAAACCGTCAACTGACGTTTATTTGATAGCCATGTTGCTAACCTTGCACTGTCAAAACTTGGGACAGAATTGTCGAATCTAAAACTGATATAAGATGATCAAACTGAGAACCTAGTGACAAGGAAGCCACGTCAAGGTCTGAATCTAAATCTCCGGATCCTAAAATAACTAGTATAAGGCGTCCACTTAATAAAGTACAGGAAAGTCAAAACCCCGATTCAGAAACGTTCCACCAATTCTTAATTATAGAAACTCCTAGGCGGGGACAGAAAATCACGCTACATTCTCCTTGCAGCGTTCCACAGCTCTCCAACCTATATCGCGCCTGCAAAAACCCTCTTCCCAGTTTATTTGATCTACTACCTCATAAGCCTGCTTTTGCGCCTCTACAATATCTTTGCCCATGGCTGTTATACCAAGAACCCTTCCTCCGGCAGCTACGATGTTTTCTTGCGAATCAAGAGCAGTGCCCGCATGAAACAGTTTAACTTTTGAGCCATATCGTTCTGCAGCTTCCAGGTTCAAAATCATGGTGCCTTTCTTATAGTCACCAGGATACCCATTGCTAGCCATCACTACAACTAGCGCTGGGTCATCGGTCCACTCGAGCTCCACGCCCTTCAGCTCACCTTTGCATGCAGCGAGCAGTAATTGTACAAGATCGGACTGGAGCCTCATCATCAAAACCTGCAAAAGAATGCATAGAGTCAGGAATTCTTTCACCTTTCGAAGTGTCAGAATGCTGGAAATGAGCCCAAGAAACGATAAAAGTATGTAAAACTAGTGTGCCCAAGAGCATCAATTTGACTTCGAGAACACATGCGAAAGTCCATATCTGCATAAGTCGACGGCATACCTGGCATTCCGGGTCACCAAAGCGTACATTGTACTCGAGGAGCTTTGGTAATCCATTTTTCTTTTCAATTATGATGCCTGCATATAAAACACCAACAAACGTGCAACCTTCCTTGGCCATTCCTCTGACAGTGGGAAGTACTATGGTGTCCATGACTATTTTCTCAAGCTCGGGAGTCAAAGCAGGTGCTGGAGAGTATGCCCCCATACCCCCGGTGTTAGGACCAGTATCTCCATCCCCAACTCGCTTGTGATCTTGCGCTGATACTAGTGGAACTGCGTTTTCCCCGTCAACAATTGCGAAAAAAGAGACCTCCTCTCCGTCCAGAAATTCTTCCACAACTAGCATGCCTCCAGCGGAACCGAAAATTCCCTCGGTGAGCATGGAATCGACGGCGTCCAGTGCTTCACTCAGCGCTGTCGCAACGACAACGCCCTTACCCGCTGCCAGACCATCGGCCTTCACTACAATAGGTGCACCTTGCTCCTGAATATATTCCTTGGCTTTCTCGGCATTTGTGAAACAGGCGTACTGCGCAGGAGGTACCAGAAACTCAGGTTCTCGAAATCGGAAGTGCGAGATGATCATCAAAATCAAATTTGGCAAACGAATTGAGTACCTTCGCAGTGGGAATTTGGTACTTGTCACACAAGTTCTTCATGAAACTCTTCGATCCTTCCAAGGTTGCTGCCTCTGCCGAAGGGCCGAAGGTAGGAATCCCCTCGCCCTTAAGGTCGTCCACCATCCCGGAAACGAGAGGGCCTTCTGGGCCAACAACGACCAATCCCACTCCATTCTCCTTACAAAACTCTGCAACTGCTAAAGAGTTGGTAATATCAAGGTCCGGTAGACACTTTGCGTCACCAGAGAGCTGAATCCCGGCGTTACCGGGAGCGCAAAAGACTACCCCACATGTAGCAGAGCGCCGCAGCCCATAACAAAGCGAATGCTCTCTACCTCCCGACCCCAGCACCAGCACAGTCACCTTCTCCTTCCCACTCTTGTCATCGCCAGACACATCTCCTGCAACCTGAGAATTGTTGTTCAAGCTCCGAACCGAAACGGATAATCTACCACCCGAAGCTCGTCCACAACCTGCTCCTCTCCTCCCTAATCCCGACACGTTCGATTCGCTCAAACTGTAACTCCTCAAAGGCAACCGATTTGTCGTCGATCTCGCAAGAGACACAGAAAAGCTAGTCGCACGCCCCTGCGTCGAAGAATTCAGCGTGGCAACCGCAGAATGCACGAAATTGGCCCTGCACGACGAGAGGGCCATTTTGCCTAAACCCCTGGCAATCTTCTGCGACAATTGATCGCTCTAAATAAATCGTCCCCCAGGAGACGGGAAGGAAGGGCACGGGGGACGACGGCCCGGCAGCGTACAGAGGAGGGAGGAAGACAGAGAGCTCATGAACGTGCGCATGTGACCAGCAAGTATAAACCCTAAGCCCCTATGCCTAAAAGACACTTGGCCTTAACTCGGCCAAGTCCAAGTCGACGACGGACTTGATCCCAAGTCCGAATCCGGGTTCCGAGACTGGCGAGCGACGACGCCCTCGGAGGCGTTGGATCGCAGAGAAGCCGACGGAGTGCATTTGACCGATGGATGGACGGATGGACGGATGGACGGATGGACGGCATCGGTCCAGTTAAAGCAACTGGTCGAGGTGAGGACCGTCCTTCCTTCCGCCCGTCGCGAGCAGGTCGAACACGATTGGCCCAAACCAGATTGGATGGCAGGCGCAGTCCCAAGATTCCACAGAACTCTCATCATCATGACACGTCCGCTGCCAGACCGTTGCTCATGTCAGTCCAATCTCCGCAGAGCAACTCCCCCTTCGATGGGGCAGTGGTTTTTTTCGCGACTCCAGGGTGCCCATCGTCGCGGAACTCTGGCGCGACGTCGCAGGTTTTGTCGGGTCGCGGAGTTCTCAAATGGAGGGAGCATCGCTCTTCAACGAGGTTCCAGGAGAATTGGTCTGCCTCCGCTGCGTCTGACGGAGACCACTCTCGGGATGATTTCTATGCTTCCAATCATTACGGATTCCAGATGCACACTTGGAGAGCATGCTAAAATATCCATCGGCATGCTCTTGACGCATGCTTTCGATGAGTATCTTCTTGCGTGCTCTCGCGTGTTGGGGGTCAACACGCAACTCCTTTTGGGGCCTCGCCTCACGAGAGCGGCTGTATTGATTGCAGTACTGAAAACCTGCCAATTAAGTGGGAAAGGAACATTCTTAACGGACGAGTCATTATAATCTTCAAATGTTGCCCCGTTTATGAATGATGTGCAAGTTCGGATTTTGGTGTCAGGTTGGGGGCTCGCTATTCGCTTTGGAAGGGACGAATTTTCGAAGACTGCTTGAAGTTTGAACAGCGTTGGATCGGTACAAAAGCAAGAAGCGTCGAGCGATACCGGTGAAACGTACAGGAACAATAAAGGTACAATACGGGGCCTTACCATGCATTCTTTCTTCCTTTTTTCTTGTTCACAGTTAGTATTCCGTTTTATTTCTGGCTGAAACAATAATTCAGCTCTTCCTTCAGCAAGCTCGCCCGGCATTCTAGAGGATGAAGCAAACCTAAGGTACGAAAACTTTGACTGAAATTGCAGTCTGAAGTACAACATCTTACAGAGGAGAAGAATGTTACGCATGAGATGTACCGCAGATTTTCGAAAATCAAAAAAGTTCATTTCACTATGAGACATTTTATTAACAAGACACTATCTTGTTAATAAAAATTCTTGTTGTACGCGAGAATCCTGCAAATTATTTACAGACAAACAAATCAGAATCTACTTATCACTCAACCCAAAGCTCTCCATGTAGTCAAACTGCAAAGTGAGTGAACATGCAAAGGTGGCAGCGACAACGTATATACGATTGCAAGAAAGGACGTTGTATCCAAATCGATGACTATAGTTTGTATCGTCGTCCATGGATAACAAGAACCTCAAAGCCGTAGAAGCCATCGTCATCGCCATCGGCAAGTCCTCCTCAAGATCCGGTCATGTTCAGTTAAAAAGTAAACAAGCCCATTTCATCAAGAAACCTTTTTATATTCACATGGACATTAAACACTTGCATATTTGGAGAGATCTTCTCATCTCTTATGAAATCTAGCACCTCCGTGCACTTTTCCCAACCCGCATTACAACATCCAAACACACACAACATAAACCTCACCGTCACATCAATCTGGGCCGAGGAAAGACGATTATTGAACTCAAATAATCATTTGAGTTCAAGATTTGCAACCTCGCCCTCACCGACGACGATGGAAGCCAAATAACCATCGTAGAGCAAATGGTTATTTGAGTTCATGAGACCGTAGAGCTACCGGAGGAGGTGCAGAGCTCGAGAAGACAGGCTTTGGGGGAGGTCGAGCGCGACGAGCGATGTCGACACGGAGCAGCGCTCGTGGGCCTGAAAAGCGAGGGAGCGGAGGCGGAACCGGCACCTACTTCGTCGCGCTGGAAGCCGGGAAGGACAGCTAAAGGCGCCCAACCTAACCCGTCCACGTGGCACCGCGGACGGGACATCCGAGGAGCCGGGCGGTAAAGCCGAGAGGGCGCCCGGGGCCGCTGTTAAGGCTCCGCGGCCCGCCGGCGAGTCTCGACTCCTTCGAATTATCGGCAGCAGATAGACCCCGCGGGCACGACGACGCAGCAGGACGAAAGCTCGAGAGCTGCTCGTCGAGGCGAGGAGGAGGAGATCGAGAAAAGAGGCAGAGGGCGAGGCTTTCGATCAGTGGGTGTTAGATCGATCGAGCAAGAGATGGAGTCCGTGGCGGCGTGCAGGAGTGTGCAGGTTGTGGATGGAGTGAGGTCGATGGCGATGAGCGCGACCAAGGTCGGGAATGTGGCTGCGACGCCGTGCAGTGCGTTTTTTGGGAATGCCGGCGTTTTGGAGAGGAGGAATGGCGGAGTGAGGATGCACCAGCAACGGAGGAGGCGGGTCGTCGTCGAGGCCAAGATTCGCGAGATTTTCATGCCCGCCTTGAGTTCTACTATGACCGAGGGCAAGATTGTGTCGTGGGTGAAGTCCGAGGGCGATAAGCTGAACAAGGGAGAAAGTGTCGTCGTCGTCGAGTCGGACAAGGCTGATATGGACGTCGAGACTTTCTACGATGGTTATTTGGCTTGCATCGTCGTCGGTGAGGGTGAGGTTGCACCCGTCGGTGCTGCCATTGGCTTGCTCGCCGAAAGCGAGGAGGAAATTGCCGAAGCCAAGGCCAAGGGATCCAAGGGAGGTGCCCCTGCCACCCCTGCTCCTGCTCCTGCTCCTGCTCCCCCATCGCCTGTCGAGCAAGCCGCCGTCGCCCCAGCCCCTCCTGCGCCTGCCACTCCTCCCCCAGTCGTCTCCGTCCCATCCCCAGTCGTCGTCTCTGCTCACCCCGCAGCTGAGGGTGGCAGGGTAGTCGCTACACCTTACGCAAAGAAGCTCGCTAAGCAGTACAAGGTTGATTTGGCTACGATTGCAGGGTCGGGTCCTCTTGGAAGAATTGTTGCAGGAGATGTGGAGGCTGCTGCTGGCAAGGCACCTGCTATTGCTGCAGCTCCGGCTGCCGCTGTAGCAGCACCGCAGGCCGCTCCCGCAGCTGCCCCCGCCAAGTCCGCCCCTGCTCCGTCCCCCGCACAAACCATTGTACCGGGTACTACAGTTCCTTTCACTGCAATGCAGAATGGTGTCTCACGAAACATGGTTGAAAGTCTCAATGTGCCTACTTTCCGAGTTGGGTACACGATCACAACCACGGCGCTAGATGCTCTGTACAAGAAGGTGCGTCCACGGTGGAAGGAAATGTCGTTTATTTTGAATAGTGAAGATCCTTATGTTTGCTCTTTGGGAGAAGATTTTTCAACTCTTATTCTTCACTTCATCTTTCCACGAAGTAGCCATTGTGATAAGCAATCTGAATGCGTCGAGTTCGTGTGGAAGTGAACACCACAGGCCAACAATTTCGACAAATTTTGTCGCGGTCGTGAAACAGATTCAACCTTGAGAGAGTTCTATCAAACTTACTCTAGACTGTTTTTGTAGCATTCCGCACTCGCATTCTCATTTTGGATCTGATCGCTCCAGTGTTTATAGCCATTGACCTCACAGAAAGTTTGTGACTTGCTGTCGATGTCATGTTCGGGCTTCGTTGGTTTCTATTTAACAAAGACTGAATAGACTACCGAATCTGAGGTTACGGTGGTCAGGAATCTAACTCAATTACGCAGCACATCTTCCTGGAGTCTTTTAATTGTACCTGCTTCACGTGATTCATTTTGAAAGAAGTCCTCAGGTATCATGGGCGTGTCGGATGTTTGCAGATCAAGTCTAAGGGAGTGACCATGACCGCTCTTCTGGCAAAGGCAGCTGCGCTGGCTCTTGCCAAACACCCGGTTGTGAATGCTTCTTGCAAGGACGGAAAGAGCTTCACGTACAACAGCAACATAAATATTGCTGTTGCAGTTGCCATGGATGGAGGTCTTCTAACTCCTGTACTCCAGAATGCTGACCAGGTTTGTGAAAGTTGTTTTTGAGTCAACAAACATCACGACCATCGAAGTCTCCGATTGTTTGTATCTATCACTTGGTTATTGTGAAGTTTGATACCAGAGATGCATATGAAGTTAAAATTTAAAGACTCAAGAATTCATGAGTTATGCCATCCGCAGGTCGACATCTACACTCTGTCCAGAAAGTGGAAGGAACTCGTTGACAAGGCCCGCGCAAAGCAGCTCACACCTGCTGAGTATAACACAGGTACTTTTTGCAGTCTGCTTTCCTAGCCCACCTTCAAACTCCTCGCAAGTGGTTTGTTCCGTGGGGGAATTTTATTTTCATGGTTCCCCTCACATTTTTGCATCTATGTTCAGAAGAATTCGGATACTCAAAGAGAGGCAGTTCATAAAAATGCAGGTCTCATCAGAGCCATATTCTATGTACGATAGCGGGACTCATGAGCTCATACCTATTGTCTTTGATGCAGGAACTTTCACTCTCTCTAACCTTGGCATGTTCGGAGTAGACCGATTCGACGCCATTCTTCCACCTAACACTGTGAGTAGTATGAAAGTGTGCTCTTACATACAAATTTGAGTGGGATTGAGTAGATCTTAAAAGTTATCCGCGTGAGAGACCCTTATCACGGATTGTTAAGATCACTGAAAATAACCTTGGCTTGTGAGACGTGCAGGGTGCAATCATGGCTGTTGGTGCTTCTCAACCAACAGTTGTAGCAACGAAGGACGGCTTATTTGGTGTGAAGAACCAGATGCAGGTGAATAGCTCACTAGTGGCCGTCCTCTTGCACCTACCATCTGAAGTATTAGATTTCCAGAAGTAATTTCTTGCGCCAGTATCTTCGAGTAGAAGCTTGCATCCCACTGTTCTGTTCTGTCTATTGGTGAGAGCTTGGTATTTCTGACATAGCTTTTCTGACGCGTGAAAACGAACGGGCAATGTCGTTGCATACAGGTCAATGTGACTGCCGATCACAGAATTATATACGGAGGAGATCTGGCCGAGTTTTTACAAACTTTTGCCGCCATTATCGAAGACCCAAAGGACCTCACTTTGTGAGCTACCTCTGATTGTTAGGGCCATCGGTCACTCTGTACTTTAAACCCAATCTAGCCCTCTAAAGACACTCCAGCTAGATATGTTTAAACTAGGGGGTGACGGATGTTTTCTTTTGTCTCTCTGCGATTTTTTCTGGAACAATGAAGCTGTCTGAAGCAGCTAGTTGGGGGAATATAGAGCAAAACGTCCGGGGTAGTTTGGCTGCGTATATTTAGGGTTTGTAATGACCATAGTCAAGAGCTCCAGAGACCACCATTCAACATCCGGAGAGGATGAAATTACGCGACGCGGAAGCTTCCACTTGAGAGATTGATTCCTTATTCAACAGCCTGTTATTGATCCTGTTATTCAGACCTATTTACACAATTAATAAAGAGGCTGCATTCGACGACTTTTTAGCACCTTTTTTTCTGGAGTTAACCAGGTCGAAGCCTTACAAAGACCTACGTCGCCTTTCTTTGTACATGGGCTGCCCCTCCTGGACGTAGAATTGAGTAATGTCGACACTTCCATGACTGCTATCGTTGGGATGATCCCATAATCTTCGCGGTTGGTCTCATTCTTACAGAACGCGTGCGAAAGAGGTAGGACTTTCCGCGCGACTGTTGGAAAATAAGCACTTCCGTAGTGCCAACAGTGCCTATGTTCAGGTGGATTGAGTGCCGTATAAGACCGCCACCTTTTACTCCCGAACTAACAGATTCTACGTGTACAAGTCTCAGACCGGGTGGGTAAGCTACTTTCCACCCTACTCTTTTCTTTGTCAATGCTGTGTGGTGAGATGGTAGGTGAGGTTCTCCCTGCATGCAAGTCTTTTTCTCAGGTCCTCATTTGATTTCATCAGCTGTCCGCGGTTCGGATTTCAACATTAGGGCTGTTATCAATAGAGGGAAGTGGCTTTTTTATCTTCAAGTGAGGTTAAATGACAATGGTGACTGTTAGATTGCCTGTCAAAAGGTTTTCGTGTTAGTTCGAAATCAAAATGGTGGATATCTTGTTATTACTAATTGCTTACTCTTGCTTCAAACTTTTCGGATCCTGCAACACCTCTTGCGTGCCCACTTATCAATAGAAAGAACTGTCATGGTCACACCCTCAAAATGAAATTGTTGTAACCGATTAGAGGTTTGAATAGAAGACATGACTGATAATCAAGTGTTCGAAGGGGATAAGAGAGGTTACATAATTTTATGGGAATGGTCCAATTCAGTAAAACCTGAACCCTCTAACGTTGTTTAAGGCAGGAGTGCGTATATTTTGCGCCAGCATGAATTACCTAAATTAACTTGGTTAGTCTAGTCGGGGCCGAATGCTTTATTTGGCCAAAACTGATTGGTTAGCATTTGTCTATGCAGCAACTAGTCTATGTCTGTTTTGATGACATGACTTCTAATCCAAAATCTGACAGATTCCTGTGGAACAAATCTTTCTCACGACGCCGGTTCCGAAAGTCGGACTTTACAAGATTGGTTCCGGGGTAATGCATTGCAACAACACCACGCTAATGGTGTTATATTAGCTAACGCTAACAGCTCTCTATGCGGCTGTGTTATTCACTCATGCTCTGCACTTCCCCGGGGCGTTGGAATTACTGGAGGTTTTGCGGCAGAATTCTCCAGAATCGAAAGTCATGGATATCGCGTAAAGGAGGGTCGGGAAGAAGAAACATCAAGCCGAATCGAGCCGAGTATTTCACCACCACAAGGTCGTTATATTCTTGATCAAGTATATTGCTTTGAACTCGAACCATACAACTCTAACGAGTTGTGATTCTCTTTAACACTTGAACTCGATGCCCTGCCCTGGGCTATGTACTCGACTAGACTAGAAGTGAAACTGGCTTATGGTATAGATTGGAGATAGGCAGCTAAGTACGGTGCAGTGGATGGTAGATAAACCGATACTGTAGACAGTGGTACTTGGTTAAGTAGATAAACCGATACAAGAGTGGATATATCAACTACAACTTATCGTGTTCTAAGCACCAATTGGAATGGAATAGTTGGTAGAGCCTGTAGCGCAATTAGAAAATATAGGGACAATGGTTAGCATTCAAATTAAGGCTCATGAGAAGCAGTTTTTGGAATCAAACTTTGCGGAATGCGGCTGTCGAATCGAGTAGCTACTTCAAAAATGTTGAACAAGGAATTGCAAAGTGGATTCGTGTCAACTTCGGTAATGTTTTTGGTGGTATGATGATGACGAAAGCGTCATTTTGAAAGAAAGAAAAATAATGTGAAAGCGTCATTTTGAGAGTAGATAATATCCAAAAATCGCCAAATGTGGGAAAAAGTATGTGTAGGGCCATACTGCCTACGTATGTGTATACAAATGACATGATTGTGTTGGAGGAGGAAGCGACTCTCTTATCGGAAGATCTGAGGTGGGAGGACTAGGAATCGAAGACTTGTCTTAGTCTTCTGTGTACTCATCCATAATGTATACAAGTCTAACCTCAGTCCGAGATAACACCGTAAAAGAGGTTAATCAGAAGAACAATTGAGTTGCGCAAGTATCTCAACAAGGTTCACAACTGTTGGCGGAATCATTACCTTTCCATGATGGAAGTCCTCCCTTTCATAAGTTTCCTAAGAACATAAGTTAGACGATATTGATGCCGAAGAGCCAGAAGAGTTAAATAGTTATCGTTTATTTTCAGAAGTTCGAATAAATTTACTCTCGAAAGGAGCATATTAAGTGATGTCAGATAAAAGTGAATAATATATCTCATTCACAATTTTAGAACTCATTATCATTGAAGATAAAAATATTGTTCACCGTAGTGTGCATCTGAGAACGTTGCTTTACAACTTTGAAAATGTGTTTTAAAAGGCAGGGATTTTCTGGCCCAAGCAATACAGCAATTCTGCGCCTTTCATGTTGTTCCTTTATTTCATGTGCGCCTCGCGAACCTTGGATTGAGAATCCAGTAGAAGATATCAGAATGCAGATATTAGTCCAATTTTACTTGATCACCGAAATAATAAGGCTTCTAGCAAAGAAAGCAAAATAAGACCATTTAAATTGGAATAAAATTCTGCAGCAGGTACATTCCTAGTAAGAGCTCGCAGTTTATAACAGTGGCGGCACAACCTATGAAACTGGGTGAAGATGCCGCATTGACCTACTGCACGTATTTCCCTATGGAAGTCAGATATATGCCCAGGAATATGGGTATAATTTCTAAAATACGAGCATCGCTCGTTATAAGCCGTCGGATGGCATACGGTCGGGGTTGTTCTAGCCTGCAATCTTATAACCTGCGATGCTCGTATTCCTCGGCGTATATCTGACTTCCATAGGGAAATACCTGCAGCAGGTCAATGCGGCATCTTCAGCCCGTTTCATAGGTTGTGCCGCCGCCACTATTGTAAACTGCGGGCCATGCACTGCGAGCCCTTACTAAGAATGTACCTGCTGTTTATAATGCTCCTTGTTTTGTGCTGTCCCTAGTGGCTACCGAGTACTCCATGGATGTAGATGGTAGATACATTTGCTTGTAACATGTATAGGGATCTACGGGGATAAAATCTCGTGTTTTCCCTGGTACAATCTCAACATGAAACTCATGATTCAAGATAACTCTATAAACCATTGCATGATTCGAAATAACTCCATACATAATCGTGTGGATGGTATTGCCAATTCCAGAAAATGTTCTACTTGCCCTCTTTAAAAGAGCCCATCTTCAGATGGGCTCTTTATCTGCTCTCTCGTGTACCCGGAATGGTTTCAGGAAAGCGCAAAAGTTCCGACCCTGTCGTAAGACGTGTATGTTTCTCATTGTCCACTTTCTCAGATCCGTGCCCATGTCTACTAAGAAATCAGTGTCGATTCAAAGACATGTCCCAGGGGCACCCTATGACACAAAGAAGTGATGCTGGAATTTATAGAGATAATCTCAAGGTTTCAGTGATAGATAAGATTTCTTTTGATGGCTACTTCGAAGTGGTAGATAATCACATAAATCATATTGGGCTACTCTCCATTCTGGAGAATAGCCCAATATGATATATAATATATAATAGCCCATTCTGGAGAGAACCCGGTCGGCGACATAAGTAATAAGTCGGCGACAATAGCATTGTAATATTGATCACAAGGGAAGTCCAAGGAAAGATTTTGAAACCTGGAGGTGATTGACAACCTGAATAAAGGCCTGGTATAGATTGAATGAAAGATCTGTTCATAGTCAATTCACCTGGCTCTATTGTATGCATTCTAAATGCTTCATAAATCTCACATTTACACACCGCCTAAACAAACATTTCCTCGTGCGACTGAATTAAGCTAATTTAGGCGCCATACTGGACTATACAGGCCGGGTCATAGCTTCTCTTTGAAGCATACCATATGTGAAGTACTTCAAACACTTCTTGGCATACTGTATCCAACTTCCTCTACATTTGTTACATCAATTTCGTCTGCATAGCTGCCACACAAACAATGTTCTGCGCTTCTCCAAAAGCTTATAGTAGCGTTGTGAGTATGGCCTGCTTGTATACGGATTCAGAAAGTCACGCCATTTTCCTTGGTCTTGCCGAACAAACTCAGTTTACTCTTCCTCTCCGACCCCATGCCTATGCAATCGCACATCCCTGCCCTGCCTTTTATGTATAAGACATGGCTTCTCAGTATTTTAAAGGATACGTATGTTAATACCAAGATCTTGTAAATAAGAAATTTGGGCCTGCAAGTGATATAACAAGATGGCAAACAACTTACGATTGTGGTCTGTAGCCGCACTTCAACCAAGGGCTATAGGCTTACTGATGACTAGTTACCTGTCAAAGCGTACCCTAGCCGTTTCAGAGTTAAACCTCCCAAACACGTAAACCCCGGTACCAATATATGTCACTATTGCAGGTTCTCATTCACAAAAGAAAAGTGTCAATAACCTCCCAATATTAGCATGTATTCCTGTTAGGATGGTATGTTACTATTGGGAGTGCATAATTTTGAATATAACCTTCCGATAATAAAATAAATTGATGTTAGGATCGGATGTAATTATTGGGAGTTGTCATTTGGAAAAAAAAATGATTAGATTTTTTATAGTACATTATAACACATTCTATAAATAAGTTGTTTGGTTTCAAATATGACGTCATATGAAAATTGTTATTTTTCACAAAAATTTACATATATTCCATAATTGTGTTTGAATTAGTTTTAATATACAAAGATCTCAGTGAAATAATTGATGATAATATATGTAACAAAGTCTTACATTGGACTTCAAAACTTTACCCATACTCATCAATGTGTCAATTGTACGCACCTATGGTAACTTTTCCATACCCATTACCTATGAGTCCATACCTAACTCATACCCATGAGACTCTTTTGCTCCCTCTCACAAATATGTTTGATTGACACGCTGAGTCCTAAGTTTTAAGTAATAGTACGCAAAATCAAACTCAGTTAAGCTTCATGAAAGAAGTCATAACTGGCATAATGTTCCTTGGGGTTCCACTCGCGATCGCTAGGCCAACTTTAGATTTGGGGTTAGATGAGGCTAATGAGATAGCTCAGAAGCTGAGTTATTTCACTCTGCCCCATATTATCGTGCATAAGATGTATCAGTCACTAAGTTACCTAGTTCTAGCTGTAGGACTTGCGGCCCAATGTTTGCTTGAGTCTACGCTTCCAGATCGCAAATTGTTAATCTCAAGCCAAAACCTTGGTCAGATCTGGTATCTGGTTACACTTAATCGAAGAGCTCTTAACTAAATTTAATCCTAGAGTTCACTTTAAATCATGTCCATTCCTTGTATCCACCATGCATTTTAATATATAACCATTATTACCTATTTATCCATGGGTATTGTATCCATTGTGGTATTCTTATCTGTATCAAATTCCAAAAAAAGTGAATTATTGACATATAATTTTAAATAAAAGTATGTCATATTCTTATTTCTTTAAAAAATTAAAATTCCGAGAATACACTTGGAATTATCACGTTATTATTGGCAATAAATATGTACTTTCTTAATAAACAAATTTCACAAGTTGGAAATTAATTACTTTGTAATTTTAAATCACTAAGGAGAGTCTTACGACAATAGTGGAAGGTTTTATAACAGGATAGGAACCAAAGCATGCCATAAAAGCTATAGTAAATATTTTGAGTTCGTTATATTCAAGTGAAAATAATATACAAATCTTTATCTGTACAAATTTGAGTCTAATATGACTTTGAAGGCGATTAGCTTGATACTTATTCGGCTGGTTAATGGGATGTTCTCTAATAACTATCAAAGCGATAGGACTGTGGGGGTTGGTTGGGACACTTCAGCCACCCACATTTTAAAAGGATGAGGTCAGAAAAAGTAACAATGAGGGTGGCAAAAGTCAAAATAAAATTTTAATTAAATTAGGGAATCACATATACGTACTTCCTTTATGAATAAGAATTCGTTTGTTCCGCCACCTATGATCGCCGGCGTAGTTATGAAGAATATCATTAAAAAGAACATTAACTGTGATTAACAGGAGAGGAGAGATCAGTCACGTGTCTCAACAAAGCTGCCCTCAGAACCTTAGGTGAGGCTTTCAACTCATTGGGCCTCCAAAACGGCTTTGGAGGCTACCATAAATCGTGGCCGTATTGTTGAGTTATAGTTTTAATTTTCTAGTCTTTTCAATTAAAGAGAGTTGCAGTTTAAACGAGATGAGTTTCTCCTTTTGCTACTCGTATGGGGTGAGTATTCACCTACGTTGTATTCGTTGTGCCCACGATTATCTTGCGTAACCTCGTTCAATTCTTCGGCATGGCTACCAATTTACTTTAAAGGGCCGTGCATATCTTTGTACTTCTGTTCTCGACTTAGCTTGAAAATAAAAGGTTTGCAACTTAGATACATGCACCTGAACTGATTTCCAGTCTAGCAACTTCCGATCCAAATCTTCCATCTTCCTATTGAAGCTTTTACCTTTTTTTTCCGTCTATGGATGCAGGGAAACAACATATCCTCACAGCCGGGATAAAAATGATATTGTTGCGCGTATAACCTCAAGGTTCCATTTATACGAAAGGGGCCGCCCCGCATCCTCCGCACATTCGCCGAAGGTAATGAAAGGAACAGTGTGGCTTGAGTCGTGAAGGCATTGGTTTGCTAAATCAATGAGACAAGAAATTGTGGAATGTAATAAAGTTCAATTCCACATCACGTAAACCCCCGTACTTCCGAACCTAGACATGCGTCGGAGTTGATCTTGAGGCGTGAAGCTATACGGACAATGTAATGATGCTTGGGATTCCGTGCTACGCTAATCTCCAAAACGATCCATAGAAACTGTAGCTCGGAATGCTTCAGTTAAAGCAAAACCTAGAATGGCAATAACCAAAACTATTCTCTTGGGCCGAATTCAATTATAGATTTGGCGCTACAGAATTCATGAACAATGAATTTGCCCAGTAATAACCACACGTGAAAGTTTCACTGCATGTGGCTTGTTCATGGCAATTTTTCCAGTCACGTGGCTTGGTAGTACAAGCACAACTAGCCCTCGTTACACCCCGGGAGTATTAGGTTTTTGAATCTCCAAAAAAGTATTTTCTCATTTCAAACTATTCCTACGTTTTAAATTGAAAGTACACCACATCCAACTTAAAATGCTGAGATGATCCACAAGTCACAGTTCCATCATTCGTTCCCACTCCCACACTGGTATTTTGTCTGGTACATGAGATTTTAGAACATGACGGTATATTTTCTCTTGCGATCTGATCCCTATATAACTATCGACTGGTCGTTATGGCTTTTGCTCGTCTCTCGTCCAAACTTCTGCAGCCAGCTCTTTCAAGCTGGAAAGGTGATTCAGAAGTGGCTACGCACAGCACACCATCTTTCTTATTTGAGCCTTTCTAAATCAACCTGCGTGAGAGTTTTCGTCCAGATCAACTCGTTAGCGACTGACTGTTGTTTGCTTCTGAGCTGTTGCAGATTGCTAATGCGGAGATGACCGTCGTATGCATCATCCTTTAAGTTTGTTGTTGCAATGGTACTCGAAACGGAAGAGAGTCGACCTGGAGATCCATGGGAAAACTTACCTCTCGAATTTCTGATCAAAGTTCTCAGAGATCATGGTCGGCCGGTTTCAGCACTTGTGGCATGTCGGTTAGTTTTTAAGAGGTGGATGGAAATCGTTGATGGTCCTGATTTGCGGAACAAAATCTGGAATGGACATGTTCCTGTGTTTTATGACAATGACGGCAAGGCCTACTTTTGCGAAGTCCACGACTTTTTACGTTTCTTGGGAAATCTGCGGCGAGACGTGCGTGACCAATTTTTACAATGATTCCAATGCTTGGAGTAAGTGCAGTGCATGAATGGATAGCACAGCCGCGGAGAGAGCCGCAGGAGGTGGTGGAAGTTCCGAGAGGAGAGGCAGCGCCTGAAGCTCAAGCAGGAGGACAGGAGGTGCAGGAAGGCCCAAGAAATGAGGATGCAGTGAACCCTTGTGCTCTGGAAAATGTCAACCGTCTCTTCTCGGCTTTAACTATAAATAGCAAATAGGTAGTCTTGGGAAACGTATCGATGGAAGTTTAAACCAATTCGGTTCATGGTAGACGACCTACAAGCAGCTCGGCCACTGCTACCATGACGAGCGGGCAGCCCCCGATCCCAATACTGATCCATAATGCAACGAACGGAAGACTCATTTGCAATCAAAAGTATTCGACTTTTTGTACACCTTTTGAACCCGTTCGCAGTATGTCGGGTCATTTTATTGGCGAAATGTTCTTGCCCTCGCAGAACCTGACAGCTCAGTTAAATATTAGATACGACCAGTCAATAAACTCAAGAAGAAGGAACGTTGCAACCACAGAGCTGTGGTAAAAATAATGTATTTACTTTTTTATTGCTATCACTGGAAGTGGATATGTCGAATATTTAAAAAGACAAGATTGTTCGCTCTCTTTAATTTAACAATAGTATAAAAGTTCTGTAACCTAGGATGCAGCTAGGCCCCAGCAACATCTCGCAAACCAGATATAAACGCAGCTCCTGTTGCAGGATGTGCCCAACTTCCTTGAGAAAACATATTTTGGTAAAACAATGCGCCAGGTAGACCTGAGAATGTGATGACTTTATCATATTTTAGTCTCAGTGTTTCACGGCCTATTTTAGCCTCTCTGAGCGAGAGAGAATCCATCCACACTGTATGAGGGATAAATTCCAAACTGTGTATTCTTTCACACTGTCCATCCACGGCAAATTGGCCTGTTCAAAACTGAATGAAGGTCTTATAACTGGCAGGGATGCCACATCAAGTTTCAACCATCAGGTTGAAACTTGATGCAATTCCGTGTGATATCTTACTTAATGCCAGCACAAAGCAGTAGGGTTTGGCACTGCGGGAGGTATTTGAAGCAAGTTTTCTGCTTCATCACATTATATATGAGGAAATTACTTGATGGAACCCTTGGTAACTCAAAACTCTTGGAGGGTTCCGGGTAACATAAAACCTGTTTGGTTCTAAAAAAATGTTTGAGTTTAACCCGGGTCTCAACAAGTAATTCTCTCCATTACCTTGCCTCTTGACATGTTTAACAGCCACCCGCAATCTTTTTAATAAGCAAGGATATATATTTCAAATTTTGTAGTAAATTTTATTTCTCAAAATGATAATATTTATTTATATTTGTAAGACAGGGTTTTTTTTTTGCTAAATTTTATTGTATTTCATACATTTAAATCATGTTTAAAAAATTTTGCAAATTTATGATCTTTGAGTTTAATTTCATTTAGATTTATTTTCTGATATCTCATTGTGATTGTAAAAAATTTAAATCAATTTTCATGTACATGTATTAAAAGCATGTTTATAAAATATTTTAAGTTATCATTCAAACTCTTTAAACTTCACTAAAACTTTACTTTTTAATTTTATTTGTCATGTATGATAAATTCTAAAAAAAACCTCATGACAATGATTATCTAATTTCTTTTAGTAAAGTTTTATCTTCATGCTAAAATTTAATTCTCGTGACATGAAAACATTCTATCGTAATACATGTAATTACAAAAATACCTTAGAGAACTTACCTTAGAGAATTTGAAAATTTTGAAGCTTTTTTTATCACTTAGTGAATTTGGAATTATTCTTTTCCATTAATTTTTTATTACTCTATCTAAGAAATCAAAATTAATATGCAATGAAACGTTTATGTTTTTAAAATGCCTTTTCTAAGATTTTAAAACGAGATAAAATACAAATGTACACACATCATTCATCAAATATAAAAGTAACAGTGAAATCATATCAAAAGTAATCAATTTGTTATCTCAATAAAAATAACGTAGGTTCAAATTTGGGAAAAATTCATTATTATCAGAAATGTTATAAATTTTTTTTTAACTAAAACACAAAACAGTTAAGTTTCATTGTAATAGATTTATCATTCAAGTAAAACTTTATGTACACCCACGTAATGATTGAATTTTTTTCTAATTATTGCACTTAGTTAATCATTGTATAAGTTAGAAATTCAACTATAGATTTTAACTTATGTTGCATAATTTATAATATACTGGACTTATAAGATCGTGAGCAATTTATATCACTATTTTTAGAGAAACACATTTTCTAAACACAGAAGTAGCTTTATCATTCTATAAATTTCATTTCAATTTATTGTCGTTTTGAATGATTTCAATTTTAAATTACGTCTCTTAGTTTTTATTTTGATTCAATTTTGAAGTTAAATGTTTTTTTGAAATTTTTTAGCATCCTCACATCATTATTATCTTCTATTATATCTTGTATTTCTTCTTGTTTCCTCATTTTTATATCATCACATAAAATTTTGATTGTAAATTCTTCATTTTATTAAGACAAATTTTCAGCTTCTCATAATTTTATTGGTTAAATAAGATTATTTAAGTGATTCACTTCTAATAATTTCTATTGTAAAAGCATTTTTAATGAGTTTATTTTCGGATCTTATTTCATATGTTTTTATCTCACATAATTTCTCTTGAACACATTGAATAATTTTTAAAAAAAATTTGAAAATCAAAAAGCAAAAAATTCGATTTTTCCTTGTTTGTATAATTTTATTTTTCTGAGAATCATTTTAAAAGTTTTCACAAAAAAATCTATTTAAAATAATTTCAAAATTTGAAAAAATGACAATTTTTGGTCTTTGATGAAAAAATAAATAAAATATTTAATGAATTATTCAAATAAAAACTTAAGCGCTAAATTTTTTCATAGTGAATTACTCTTAATCATGACTAAACTACTCACAGTCATTTGTTTGATTACATGTATAAAGAATGCATCCATACAACTATGTGTATTTTACTTTAAGTTGACTATTGGAGTGCTGAGTATTCAAGGAATGACTGTGGAAGATAATGATACTTTTACAAATCACGAATGTCAAAAATGTATAACAAATATTCCAAAAGAATTCTCGGATTTATCAAGAGTGCAAGATTTGTGTTGAGTTCACGCGATGTAGTTTTATCATGCTTTGGTCATTGATAGAACGTGTTGATTGAATAAATGAACCAAGTTATCTTTGCAACCACCTAACTGCGATTAGTTGTGCCAAAATATTAATCTTTGTTTATTTAGTTATTTTTTCTTGGTCTTGGAAAGCGAAATGAAGCAGAGATGATCCTCAGATTCCGTAAAGTTAGATTGTATAGTCCATAAGGTTTATTTCTTGTACAAACAGTGTGGGAAACAAAGCCAAAGCAATGTTATTTCCTAATTTATTCATACATCAAAGATTATAATCTAATCAGGGAGGAGCTATAGGACAAATTGTCATAATCTTTGACCAAAGATGAGAAAAAAAGAGATGGTGAATCTTGATAAGAGGAAAAGAAAAACATTCCAAAAGGTCGACCGTCCAACTCAATGCAGATCTGCTTATTTGTTTTCAACTCGTCATCAGATTTGAGCCACAAGAGAACTTTGCTGTCAATATCCTCCACACTAAACCTTCATTTTCATACCATATCTACAATTTCTTTATAATATAGTATCTTTATACGTTGAGCATCCCAAATGAAATCTTTCATTGAATTCCATTCCTCGATCCTATGCAATACAATATTGCATATTATAACAGTTCATTCATGATCGTTCTTGAACGTGGACCAATCTTTTCTATAAATTTGAAGTCCTATAAACTGTTATTGTTTTGACTACTTGTGGTAACACACTTTTTGTTTTTTTTGCAGAATTTAAACAATTTTAGAAAAGAAGTACCGAAGCAATGTCTGTAGTTAGGAAATGGTATGTTAATTAGAGTGGATTGAGGAGATCGTCACGAGGTCACGAAGAATCGCGGAGTTGGACGTACCAGCGCCAAACGCCTTCGGCGCCTTCGGCAATATCTCCTTTACTGAGGTGTCTCTACCCATGCGCTTCCAGCGCTTAGGGAAGGTACGCTTCCGGCACAAACACCTCCGGAGAAGATGTCGCTGAAGACGTCAGAAGCCGGCAAGGACCTTTGAAGGCTTCCGACCATGAGTGCGCCTTCGGCGATGCGCCGTTGGCGCGGGAGGGAAACCTTCATAACGATCAGGATTCACGGTAGTTCTAGTTGGTTGAGGTTTCATTGGAAAGAGCTCGGGACGCTCGTTCTAACGAGCTCAAGAGCGCCGGAGATGGATCAGGCACGAAGAAGTTATGAGCGTCGGAAAACTTGCATCCGGACATGCGCTGTTCGCGCTAGGGTTCCCCGTCGGAAAGGACTCCCGTACGCCTTCGGCGATGCGCCTTCGGCGGAACCACGCGCTCATAAGAGGAGATCAACTCAGAGGCGGAAGTGCCTTTGGCGGCTGCGGAGCGGAAGAGAAGCGCAAGCCGGCGGTACGACTCCGACGTGGCGCGGACAGGCGGCTGCGCTGGCATAATTCGCGCCGGCGGGATATGCGCCGTTGTCGATATGTGGGCAGAACGGACAAAACAGGTGGTACGAATACGCGCCGGCGTAATTCGCGCCGACTTGATGCGCGCCTCCAGCGAGGCGCCGACGGAGAAGGAATACGCCAGCGGCGATACGCCTCCGGCGATGGGCAGGTTGGAAAAAGACAACATAGTCGACGCATACGCTCTACTGCGGCGAACTCGAGTCCGGAAGACGATGGCGAACTCGAGTCCGGAAGACGATGGCGGCGGGAGAATTCAACGTTCACGCATGCGAATGCGCGCAGTGCGGAGTCGTGATTTCGAGCATGCGAGGGAGAACCGTTAGGTCGTATAGCCGGCTGCGTAATCAAGTTCGATTGTACCTAGGGAGAGCGTTGGGCGATCTTGAATTCGGAGAAGAAAAG